CCATCCATCAGTGTCATTTTTTATTTTATTTTTTTCTTTTATCATAAATAATAATTGGTATAATGTTTATAATTATATGAAAATAGTGATGTAAAGAACCAAAGGCATTTATTGAATGAAGTACCACTCTGTCTCTCTGTGTTTGTCTCCATGTTCCCATGCCGGTCCAGCCGCACATGCATGGTAGTCTTAACTGTGTAGCTGTCACTCAGGGCATAGCCCCCAACTGACCATAAAATGAGCTTCGTAAAGAACTTATAAAAAAAGAAGAACTAACATCCTCAGAGACAACTCCCAAAAATGAATGTGGCATCTGATATGTACTTAAAGTGCAGCTTGTGCTGAGACAGTCAATGAAATGTGCTGTTTTTTCTTTGATTTTCAGCTCAGACGTTTGGCATGAACTGCCATGCCTTTTCTGACACTGATGTTGTTTCAAGATGGAAGAAAAGGAAATGTTCTTTTATCGTTCTTTTATATGAGGTAGTTGCAATTAGCCGTCATTGACAGTGTATGGTGATGAACACATCTGACATGATTTTCTGCAAAAACGTTCTGACTCCAACTGAGATAGACCTCAGGTCTACTTTAGTCAGACTCTGCAGCGGTTATGCAGTAGGAAGAGAGATGCGGTTGCAAAGTAAACCACATCTGCTTTGGTGGAAAATAATAAAAAATCTATAAATCTCAAGAGAAACTGTCAGGTTTGGAGTTGCACAAAGACGCTGAGCACAGGCGAGTCGAACTCAGACCTAAACAACATTTTAATAAACTAAAGACTTTTACCCATGGTAGGAGTTCAGGAGGTCAGAAAAATAATTAAAAAAATTATGATCGTATTTGAGCCTCACAAAATCGAGGATACAGTACAGGAACAGTGCAGCTTATGACTCAGATTTAATGTTGTATTTCTGTCTGGAAATTCAGGAGATATGCCTTTAAAAAAAAACGAAGAGAACACACTAAGAGCAATCATGATGTTAAAGCTTACAGAAAGTGTTAGAAGTGATAATGTTGCAAGTTGTAACACAATTTCCTAATTCCCTGCAGCCCTGAGGTCAAAGATAAAGTAGCTGCTTGTAGAGAAGAGATTTCTTTTCTCAGAGAAAACAGCTTGAATTAATGTTATCAGACAAAGCGTACATACATTTTTCTTTGAGTTTTCATTATCCCTCAGTTACCAGCAGCTGATAAAAATCATGCTGAAGTTTATCATCAAACACATTTTTGGATTGCTTGGGTTCAACCAATAATCTGATCCTCAGCAGCAATCATGTTTACTGATATGACCGCTTAGGAAAATGAATTGGCCATATCATAGGTGGAATTTAGGATCTTACCCTTAACTGGACAGACACATCAAAGTGTGGCTTTTACACATTCTCATGTTTAACTTGAAAGTGGTGTGGTATTTTAAAAAGTCTAGTCATAAAAAGCTGTATTTACTTGAAATAAATTCATGTCAGTTTGGGCAAGGAATCTACCTTAATAAGATCAGTAACTAAATTGACACATTTTTGCAATATTCAATTCATTTCAATTAATTATACTCTGAATCCGCAAAGGGAAATTCATTTTTGTTACAGCCCATCCAAGGAGACAAATAACATACAGGAAGGCATTACACAGACATTTTACATGGGGGGGGAATGCAGTGTCCGAGGCCTTGCTGCCATAAAAGGTGCTGCCCTCATAGTAAGAAACTTAGTCCACTTCTATCCAAATCTGTTACCTTGCTGTATTTGCGGGACCCTTTTTGCATGAAGATAAGGATTTCATCGTGATATTTGCAACAGATCAATAATTTGGTCTGCATTCTGGGCAAGGTGCATCAGGCAAACAGGAGGAGTTCCGAAAAAATCTGCTGCCACTTTTTTGATAGAGCTGACAATCTAAATCCAGGCAAAACATAAATTCCGATTTGTAAGCCTTGTGATACTTTTTTGTGACTAAAAATATGCATTCAGTTGGAGAAAATGCATAAAATAAAACATTAAATCCACCATGGTATTTGCAACTTTAGGGTCAGCACATGGCTTTCAACCGTTTGCACTTCCTCTCTCAGAGCATCTGTCGATACTGTCAATAAAGCCTACGGATATTAGCTTGGCCAGCCCATTAAACACGCAGGCAGCTCCAGGAAGGGAATCAATAATGGATACATCACCACAGGGGCAGCTACCATGACCTTATACTGGAACGGCACTAACCACAACTATAAACAAACAAATGCTTATTTGATCGCCGCTGTCAAAGTAGCTTCAGAGGAATAGTTAAAGAAATGTCACGCTTCCAAACAGCTCTCGTACCGAATCTTGTGAAGGCCTTTGCTTTTTTAAATAAAGTTTTCTCTCCCACTGTTCCTCATTTGAAAGCAATTAAAACCCTATTGTTTCCAAGGTTAAGAATCCCGCATGCGGGTGCAACAAGAAAAAGACAATAAGACAGCGTTCCTATGGCAGCCTGAGATGAAGCAAATTCAATTCAGTTGCATATTAATGTGGGAGTCGGGAACACGGCCTGGTTTCGTTCATGACTGTAGCTCCGTTTAACACGAATGAGCTGAAAGCAAGTTATTGACGGTCTAAACTTAACCATACACAGTCACCCAACAAAAAGGAGAATAAGCCACTTCCAAAATGTGTCTCCTAATAATTAGAAAACACCAAACTAAGTAGACTCGCCCATCATTAATTGCACGCTTTTAAAGATGCACTATTTCCATATTATTTACATCAACAATATACATCATATAAAGCCCTCAAAAATGATTGGCACCACAGTTAATTTAGAAAAAATAAATAAATTAGGGAGACCTGGCAGCTGCTCTGGCTAGAGGTATGGCCATATTGAGGTAGGTATGTTGTTTTACTATCATCTGACCACATATCTGTGTTGCTAAAAAGGTATCTTGCCTTCACTGTTTTCAATATAGAATAGAAGCAGGTTCAGTCTTGACATAATTAAACCCCAGAGTTACTGGTGTACTGATTAAAAGTTCTTCAGTACTGTGGAATATGATTGAACCTTGTTCAGCTGCTGGAGCTCATAAGTCAAATTCTATTAAAATATTAAGTATCTGTCCAATTAAATCTGAGGAATAAATTATTTTCCTTTCCAGTGACTCTAAAAAAGCTTATTTCTTTGGATTAAGCCGTTTTTGGAGTTCATGCAAAGATAATCATTATGCAGCAGAAACACACATGGAGGATGCAGCTCAAATAGGGACTGAGGCCTTTAAGTAAAGAAGTACAAAAAAATGCAAGTTTCATCAATGTCTCTTCATTGTAAAACCCAAAGCATGTACAGGTTTTTCACACATGAAAAAAAAAATTTTATTTATTTTTTTTATTCAATGAGGTGGCTATGCCTCTTGTTTCTGTCACGCAAAGGATTATGGGATTATTAACGCCGTTATCTTTTTTTAGTAACGAGGTAAACTAACTAATTACTTTGACTGTAACTATAACGCAGTTACCATTGCTGACACCCTGTTACACCCTGCACGTTACTCAGGTCGCACAATTAACCTTTTTTTCATGATAGGACTCATGTGCGCCTTGTCATGAGAGAGGGGAGATGAGATTGGCTGTTACGGGTGTTAACATACAGCACACACAGATAGATGGAGAGTGAGGAGGACTCCAGCAGCAAAAGAGCATTTTTCAGATGGAAATAACGGTGTTACGTCGAGCTGCGTTTCACCATCAGATACGATTTACCCTGCGCAAGCGACAGGAAACGCACATGCTCGCTAAAGGTTGTAACAGCCTCTCACGCCACAGTGGAACTACGGAGAGTGTGAACGATCAAATGTTAGACTATATGGAGAAAGGGAGAAATTGGGATGGATTTATGGATGGATGGATGGATGGATGGATGGATGA